TGAAGGGACAGCTGGGTGTAATTCAATTTAACCTCCTGATCAAAGGGCCACTAACGTAGAAGTTACACCAGGCTGATTAGAGCCTCGTCCAGTCAGGTTTTGAAAATTTTCAGAGATGGAGGTTCTACAGTTTTTCTGGGCAACTTGTTAACAGAGCTTAACCACTCCCAGAACGGATATTTAACGTGAGCAGGCAGAAGGGTTAGGCTTTTTGTTCGTTTGGCGTTTGTGGGGTTTTTTTGTTTGGTTGGGTTTTTTTTTAAGCTGAGGGACTGCTTCTTAAATGGAAGTTATTTCTTGCTACAGGAAACATATTGGGAAGGTGAGCTTAGCAATATACCAGTTCTTCACTATTTCTTCAGAAGAAAACATGGCAGAAGAAAACAATATAATCGGTTCTACCTTACTCAGAATATTTCTGGTATGTGGGAAATACTCAGGTTGCTCTGGCAGCTGAGAACAAGGAAGCTTTAGTAAGCCCTAGAACTAAGATGATAAAACCAAAAAGTTATTACAAATGGTTATATATCCGTGCTGAAAACTAATACAGAAAAGCATACTGAATACAGTTTATAACCTATGTAGTTAAAGTATTCCTTTTTGTTACCTGTGAAGTTCAATCGTTGGATTCTCTGTTCTTTACTATCTTCTTACCAATATCCAATCCAGCAACTTTCACAGAGTAGAGGCAATTGAACTTATTTTTTATTATGCAGTTCCAACATCTGTAGAAATTATGCTCCTTGAGAGATAATAAAATTGACATTCTTTGTACTGTTATTCAAAGCAAGCCAACGTTGTGTACGTCTTTATAAATCACAATCCAGAACTAATGCCTTCCCCTTAGGTTTTAAAGTCTCTAGTGAGTGCCTTACACACTTGGCCTTCCTGCCCTGTAATCACTGCCTCGCTTTAGCAATCGTTAAATAAGAATGACCCACTTTCTTGCCTAATAGATTCTTTGTGGACTGTAAGCATACTTAGATGTTAATGCCTAGATGGTTTAAAGACTAAATAAATCAGCATAACTAGCCTCCTGTCACGTTAAGAAAGCCTTATGAATAAAAGCACAGCTAAATTAAATCTTTTAAATTTAGGCAGACTTTTATATATTTGTGCACATATACATACTGCATTATGTATGAAAAGTAGGATAAGCTGGAGCATGATTTTTTATCTGGTCTCAAAGGCTGGCTGGAATACCTTTTCATAGCTTTTCTTTGCTTCTGAAAAACCATGCCAGTTTGCACACCTGAGATGTTGTCTGCAGTGCTACAGATTGGGGAAAAGTTTTTCCCACATTCATATATGCCCAAGACTGTCTTGGAACAATTGCAGGAAAAAAGAAGAGCTAGCGAAGCCTTGAGAGAACTATCTCACGTTAGAATTTCTAGCTCTATCCAACGCTTCCTGAAATCAGGCCTATCTAACTAAAAATTTCTTTTGGAAAGAATTTTAAAATGTGCAGGTTGGGTTTCTAAGGAAAATGAAAAAAAAATAAAAATCAACAAAACAAAACAAAACTCAGTTGAACTAAAAATTCCCATTGAAAAATTGACATGCAGTTCCTGTCTTCCAGACAGACATACAAAAGCATATAAATGCCCAGCCAACATATTTAACAAAGATTAACAAAACCCAGGTTACCGGGAAAAAAACCTCCTCTTAGTAAATGTACAATAAATAGCAGCGCAGCAATACTGACAACTGTTACGGCACCTCCCCGCTCTCCATAATCCTGCTAAAAAGAGCAGCTGGTCTTTAGTAACTGGCAGTCCTCGGTAGCTTCCTTGCAGGCCCGTCCAAGCGTCCAGCCCCCTCTTCTCCTGACGTGCCCGCTGGGGCCACCGCTGCATGGCTGAGGCGGCCGGTGTGCTGGCCCTTCCTTGCTCGCCTTTGCCATCGTAATGGCTGTCCCCTTTCGCCGTCCCTGCAGCGCTTCCTGGATTGAAGGAACCCGGTCCTGATTTGATCAGGCTTTACATGCAACCTTTTTCTCCTCGGGGGTTAGAAAATCTCTAGAAGGGAGACATCCACAACAGATTTTACTCCTCAGTAGGATCCAATTCCCAAAACGATTTTTACTCCCTGCTATGCACGCACACCCACACAGAATTTTGTTACCCAGGCCCAGTTCACATCCTGTCGCCTCATGGTGACCTCTTACCGGGAAACGTTTGTCATAATTCCTGTTCTTTTTCTATATATAATAATTAATTACTCTTCATCACATATATACTTGAACAAGTTTTAACCGAGGTAATAAAATTCATAAAATGAATTTGGGACTACTAGTATCATTCATATTCTACCAAGTTGCTATTTTCCCTTTTCAACGGGGTTCCGCATCATAAAACTTAAATCCTCCGGGTTTACATTCACTTTCAATTCACTTAGATTTTAAATCTACAAGTCAAAACATGAGCTGCAGATCTTGTTACATCACACTCCTACATTGCACGTGCCGTATGTACTTAAGCTTAAACTTTACAGCATAATTAATTCTTAAAATTAATGCAGTGTGTGCAAATTAGTTGTTGGTAGTTAGTGGTGTAACTTTTCTTTTTTTAAACTTCCTGCCCTTCTTGAATATTAACTAATAATTACAGTGCATGACTTGAAGCTTTTTAACTTTCATTTATATCCATTTACAATCATATCATTTTTAGCGAAAAGGTTGGAGTAAGTCACTTGCGGGAATGTATTAACCTTTTGTTCAGGAAGAGATGAGACATTGCTTGCACCTGCTCTACAAATATGCACTGGGTTTTCTTATGTTAATCAGGCACATTTGAATCTTATATAAAAACTTCAGTGTGGGTGTATAGATACAACTAAGATGCTTACATTTAATACTGCTCAAACAAGTAGTGGCGATGACTCACAAGTTTGATATACAAAGGAAATGGGATTAATCCTCTCAAACCGCCTGTCCCTAGTGTACTTCCATGAGAGAGAATTGTGTTTGGATGAATGCGAAGATCAGAGAAAGGCACTGCGCTGAGATATGCGGGGACTGAAGTCTCAAGGCAAATAATAAGGGCATTATATGCAGCCCGTGACAGAAAGTTCCCCAGGAAACACCGCGCTCTGGTTCTGACTGAACTCTGTTACTCTCGAAAAGAGTACCTTTGAACCTTTCCCCCCCTCATGCCCTTAAATCTACTTCAGCTG